CGGCTGTGGGGGGGGGCAGGGGCAGATTCGTAACCTGGGACCTGGCCTGTGGGCCTCCGCTCTCCCCAGGGCCGACCCCTGGGGCTCCCATCCGGTCCCACGGCCCCAGCCCCCGCCCCCAGCAGACACTGGAGGAGGGGCCCCCTCCTGTGGAGGCATTAGAGGGGGCAAGGACCGGGGGACCCTCCAACCCCCCCAGGGGCTTGTCACTCGTGCCCACGTCTGGATTCAGTGCCAACCCCAAATCTAGGTCGCCCCCTGGGGGAGGAGAGGGGAGCCAGTGAAGGGGTCCATCTCTGTCTGTAGCCAGGCTGGGGCTCCTGGCTCAGGGTGCTGGGGAGGCGTGGGCCCCTGTGGGTCTGCAGAAAGGTTACACTGGGCCAGGGGCGCCTGGAGGGGGCCGTGATGGTTCCCATAGGGCCCTGGGGCTCAGGGGAGAGATGCTAAAGCTGTCTCTGGATCATCTGTGGGGGAGGAGGGTGCGTGCTAGTGGTCCCAGCGTCCCACACTGGTGCCTGTGGTCAGAGGGGCGGGGACTCGGGGGCGGGGACCTGTTGACCAGGAGTGACAGCGGGTGTGCGGCGCCCCCAGGTGCTGGAAGACAGCCACCAGTGGTGGAAGCTTCGCAGCCGCAGCGGCCAGGCAGGCTACGTGCCCCACAACATCCTGGACGAGGTCCGGCCGGAGGACGTGGGCGCCCCCCTGGAGCAGGTGATGGGGGCACGCGGCCTCGCTGCGGGTCTCTGCCCTCTGGTGGCTGCAGGGGGTGACGGGAAAAGGTGCCGGACGGGGTGGGGTGGGGCCCTGGCTCAGGTCCTGGGAGGGAAAGCGGGGAGGGGTTCCTCACCCTCTCCTGACTCCAACCCCGCGGCGGGGATGGGTGTCGCTGATGGTCCCGCCCCCTGCTCTCCCCCACCTGCAGCCTGGTCTGAAATACTGGGGTCCTGCCAGCCCAACGCACAAGCTGCCTCCGAGCTTCGCAGGAAACAAAGAGGGTGAGGGGGAGGGCGGGGCGGGGGAGGGCGGGGCTGGGGGTGGGGCGCCCGGGGCCGGAGGGCGGGGCCTGAGCCGCTGGCCCCCTGCAGAGCTGATCCACCACATGGACGAGGTCAACGACGAGCTCCTCAAGAAGATCAGCCACTTCAAGGCGCAGCCGCAGCGGCACTTCCGCGTGGAGCGCAGCCACCCGGTGCGCCTGCCGCTCACCTACGAGTCGGGGCCTATGGAGGTCCGCGCCTGGCTGGAAGCCAAGGCCTTCAGCCCGCGGTGAGCGGGCAGCGCGGAGGGCGGGCAGCGCGGAGGGCGGGCAGGTGGCCGCCACGCCCACGCCGCAGCCCGCCGCGCTCACGCCCGCCTGCCCCACAGGATCGTGGACAGCCTGGGCATCCTGACCGGCGCCCAGCTCTTCTCGCTCAACAAAGACGAGCTGAAGAAGGTGTGCGGGGAGGAGGGCAGCCGCGTGTACAGCCAGCTCACCGTGCAGAAGGCCGTCCTGGAGGTGAGCCGCGGCAGGCCTCCCGCGCCTCCCTTCCCCCACCTGCTCCGCGTGCCCTAGGCTGACACCGCCCCGCTCCCGTTCCTAGAAGCAGCAAGGCGGATCGGAGCTGGAGGAACTCATGAACAAGTTCCATTCCAAGAACCAGAGGAGGGTAGAGGATGACAGCTAACCTGGTCCCGCTGGCTGCGCTGCCGCACCGCACCGCCCCGCGACCCGGCAGGGGCAGAGCCCCAGGCGGCCGCCCCCATGCATGGAGTGTTATTTTCCCACGTGTATGGATTTCTCGCCCTGGACACAGAGGGAGTGTGGTGGCGGCCTCGGGCCCTGCCCCTGCCTGGGGGCCAGCTCACCTGCCTCATGGCCCACGGCCTGTCCTCAGGCTCAGCAACATCCCTGCCCACACTCACCTGCCTGCTCCAAGGCCCACCTCAGCCAAACTTGCCACCTGGCCGTGCCAGCCCCTCCCCCCTGCCCACTGCCACTAGACCCGGCCTGGCCCCCTCCCAGTGCTCCCCGAGGCCATAGAACCCCTTTCCTCTGGCCTCCCCCACCCACGCGAGGGTCCCTGGCGCTTCTGAGTCTGCCCCTGTCCTGCCTCCGAGATGCTCAGTCCACACGCCTCTGAATCCCCTCATCCTCGCCGCCCCAGGTGCACTGTGGGCTGGAAGGGCAGCTGCCCCCGGCTCGAGGCTGACCGGGCTGGTGACCCCCTGCCCCAGACGGTGCCCACAGCTCCCACCCCGTGCACTGCTCCCTGGGGGTGCCCTGGGGGCGCCTGCTGGGCTCCCTTCGCCTTTTCACGGAGGAGGCATGGACTGGACTCACCTGAACACTAACCTCGGACACCCCACCCTCACCCCACCCCTGAGGCGGAGCCCCAGGAAAGGAACTGTCTGTGACCGGGTCTCAGGCCAGCCTCGCCCTGCGAGGGCCCTGGACTCCAGGTCACAACCCAGAGCTGAGAGGGAGCCAAGCTCAAAGGCCGTGACATTAAACCAATTGTCTCCTCTCGGCTGCTGTGTGTCTCCTGGAGCTGGGGTGGGGGTCGGCGGTGGGTCCTGCAGCTGACCTGAAGTCACGCCCTTCGCGAGGGCAGTCGGGCAGGGCGGGCTGCGGCCGGGCCGGCAGTGAGGCCCCAAGTAAGACCCTGACCCCAGAGCCCAGGTGGGGCGGTGGGGAGACCCTCCCCTCCCCTCCCCTCCACACCTGTCAGAGAGGGCGTGGCGGGGGGGGACCGTCCCGGGAGGTGAGGGGTTAGGAGGGGCCCTGCCCGGAAGGAGAGCCGGAAGACTGTCACCGAGGGGAGTGGGAGTGGGGGAGGGGCGGCAGAGGAGCAAAGGAGGGTTTGATTCGGAGAGCTAAGCTGAGGATGGGGTGGGGGCGGGGGGCGGAAGAGGGGGCTGGGTGGCTGGGTGGCTGGGTGGCTGGGTGGCTGGACAGCGCCAACAGTCAGCTGGGCTGCCCTGGGTGCCAGAGCAGAGTGGTCCCTGAGGTTCCTGAGGGCTGAATGCTGCACCTGCAGGCCCCAGACCACCTGGCTGGTGCCCACCTTTGGAGGCCGCTGGCGCCCTCTGCTGGCAACTCTGCGTGCTGCCTTCCCTGGCGGCCAGGGGGCGCACTAGCACTTGTCTGGTTCCCCAGCGCCTTGACCTGCGTGGGCCCCCAAGAGTGGATGGGCCAACCCTGGTTCAGGGTATCCCAAGGGCCCAGTCTTGGGGCCTCTGTCTGCTGGGCAGGGGTGTCCAAGCGAGCTCGGGTGCAGAGGGCAGGTTGGGCTTGGCGGGGCTGAGTTGGGAGGGCTGCCCCTAGGCTGGCGGACCCCTGAGACAGGACCAGCCCCTGGGTCTGGAAAATCCAACGTAGGCGGGACAGGCCACCCTGGGCCAAGTCTGTGCAGCAGGGCTTGGTCAACGGGACTGGGGGCTGTCTGGTGCCCTCTGGGCCACCGCTGGAACCTGACCAGCTCAGCCCCTCTCTCCGGGGAAGAGAGGACCCAGCCCCACCTCCAGGCCGGAGAAGCAGGTCTGCCCTTGGAGCTGGGCAGGACCCTGCAGACAGGGAGAGGGAGCCCCAGAGGAGAAGGGAGCAATGTCCTTCCTTCTGGACACCCACAGACCCACCAGTGTGGCATCACCAGAAGGTTGCAGGTACCCCGACAAGACCACCCCACCATCCCCACCAGGCTGAGCCCCTCCCTCAGGGTGGGGATGGGCCCCCCGCTGGATGGGGCCGGGTGTCCTTGTCCTCGTGGGCCCGAGGGGGGACCCGGGGGATAGGGCTCATCCTGCTAACCTCACTGTATTGGTTTTAAAAAGAATTTCTGCCCTGGCTGGCATAGCTCAGTGGATTGAGCACAGGCTGCGAACCAAAGCATCGCAGGTTCGATTCCCAGTCAGGGCACATGCCTGGGTTGCAGGCCACAGCCCCCCGCAACCGCACATTGATGTCTCTCTCTCTCTCTCTTTCTCCTTCCCTTCCCTCTCTAAAAATAAATAAATAAAATCTTAAAAAAAAAAAGAATTTCTTACAGAAATGAGCTCGTCCCGTGTCAACTGCCGGCTCTCCAGAAGGCGGCCCGGTCACGAGAGGATAGTGATACGTGGGCTCGCCCCTGTGGGGGTCTTAGCCGGGTGGACGAGGCTGGGAGTGTGCAGCTCGGGGCCTGGACGGGGGCTTGAGTAGGAGGGGCCGGCAGGAGACGTCGCGTTTGTGCAGTGCGTGGGCACCGAACCGCGGACGTGAGCCCAGAGAGTCGCCAGCCAGGCTCAGCGCTCTGCCCACAGGCCTGGGGCCCCTGCTTTCAGGACGGTCCTGAAACGAGAGGGCATCCGAGGCCCTTCTTCCTGGTGGCGTGCAGCAGCCAGCCAGGGGACGGACGCAGGTGCTTTGGGGTGGTGGCCTGTCACTGTCCTTGTAAAAGGGAAGAGTCGGTGCACGTCCTTGAATTTTCAGTGAGCTTCTCACGACCGTGCACATCAGCAGAGGCGACCCACAGACCCAGTCCTGTGGGGCCTCCAAGACTCTGACGTGCGTGCCGGGGTCCCGAGGCCCCGAGTCGGACTCACACTGCTGTGGCATCTACGGTCGCAGCTCCTGCAGGTCAGCAGGCCGGGCACTTGTGGGGGGGCCCCCACAAGCCCCCCCAGTCCTTGAGCAGGTGCTCAGGCCCGGGTGCCAGAGAGAGACAAAGGAAAACCCTTTCCGCCTATCCGACCGGCAAAGTAGGAAGCTGGCAGACGCCCCGTGCTGGGAGGCGTGGGGACAGGGGACCTCCGAGCCGTGCTGGGCTTAGTCACCCGTGTCACCCCCTCATCAGCCCTGCTCCTGTGCTGTGACCCCAGGGCCCTCCCTGGCGTCCACCAGGGCGGGGTATGGGGGTGGGGGTGGGAAGAGCCCAAGCTGGGGGCCACGGGAGAGCCACGGGGAAGGCAGGCGCTGCAGACCAGTGAAGAAGCCACCCACAGGTTCCATGAACTAGAATACACAGACACGAGGAGGAAAAACCAAGTGTTGGAAACAGCACGTTTTACAAGAACTCAGGCAAACCAAGGCCTCGGGGAGCCGTGAGGGGCGGGGTTTCGCTCTGAAGGAGAGTGAGTGCTGAATCAGGGAGGGGGAGATGAGGGGTCGGCGCAGCAGCTCGGGGAACAGCCAGCGCTCCCCCTCCAGTCTGCGGAACCAAGCGCCTGGGACCCCGTCCCGCCCCGCCTGCGCCCCCACGGCCACTGCTGTTCTGAGCGGGGGTTTATCCTTCTGACGAGCGTGTCCGTGGCTTACGGCCTGTGCGCTTCTCCCGGATGCGTTTCATGGTTGCCGTGGGTGCCTTTAAACAGGACGGGACCAGACACGGCCGGACCACCCCTGTGGCCGTGAGCTGGGGCTTCCGGGATGCACGTGGGGAGGGCAAGGGGAGGCTCCAGATGCCGAGGCTTCGGACGGAGGCGGAGCCGACCGGTGGGCCACGCCCAGACGCTGGTCTGCGGCTGTGATGAAAGAAAGACACCTCGCCTTTGCCGACTTGCCCGCGTCTCAGCGCTGGGCTCAGGGGCGTTAAACACACTCACACTGCTGTGCAGCCGTCACCTCCGTCGTCTCCAGAACTTTCCATCTTCCCCGCTGACGCTCCGTCCCCATTAAACATTCACTCCCGCCCTTCCCCCTCTCTGCCTCGGGCACCCACCGCCCTACTTTCTGTCTCCGTGGCTCTGACTCCCCCAGGGACCTCCTGCGAGTGAACCGCACGGGGTCTGTCCTCTGCGTCTGGCTCATCCACTCAGCACAGTGACCTCCAGGCCCATCCGCGCTCTGGCGGGGGCCAGGATGCCCTGCCTCTTCACCGCGGAGTGATCGTCCGCTGTGTGGACTGCAATTCTGCAGCCAATCCCGTGTGTGGGTCTCTCTCTCATCAATACAAATGAATAAAAAATTTACCTTCGATCTTCCCAAGATCACAGTGGCCTGTGTTGCATCGTTTGAGTTCTGGTTTACATTCATCACGTGCACTAGGTCGCTCTGTGGATCTAATTCTGTTTCGACTTCTTCCTGTTACTAAGCTGTGCACCTGCTGCCTGTTAACCTCCAGCCAGAGCTGCGCCCTCTGACGGGAGAGGCGACACCCAGCAGAGGTCTGTCCTGCCACTGAGGGACACAAAGGCCCAGGTCAGAAGACCAGACCCATTGATCAGCGATGTGCTCGGGGAAAGAGCTCCATCAAAAGGGGGACACCTGGCTGGCGTAGCTCAGTGGATGGAGTGCGGGCTGCGAACCAAAGTGTCGCAGGTTCGATTCCCAGTCAGGGCACATGCCTGGGTTGTAGGCCATAACCCCCAGCAACCGCACATGGATGTTTCTCTCTCTCCCTCCCTTCCCTCTCTAAAAATAAATAAATAAAATCTTAAAAAAAAGGGGGGGGTGATAACGGCTGACTGGGACTTTAACTTTCTTTAATCCTCACACAAGTATATTTTTCATTGATTCTAGACAGAGAGGGAGAGAGAGAGAGAAACATCCATCGGTTGCCTTCCGTCCGCACACACCCCAACCAGGGATCAAAACAGCAACCTGGGCGTGTGCTCTGACCGGGAATTGAACCTGCAACCTTTCGGTCATGGGACAATGCTCCGGCTGACTGAGCCGCCCAGCCAGGGCTGGCTGAGGGAGACTTTAAGCTAACAGGGTCTGTGGGAGCGGCTCGGGCTGTGGGTGGCGTTCGCACACTCAGCCCTTCACGCCCTTTGTCCTGCGCTTGTTCAGGTGACTCAACTCCTCCTCGAAACACTTGCCCAGGACCTCCACACCGGCCCGGCTCGGCTTCCCCATCGCCGTGGCCTCTGACTTGTCCTACTCGGGCCACACCCCATCACCCCTCCCACACCTCCCCAGGGGAGCAGGAGGAGCAGGTGGCCGAACCCACCGGCCACGCCCAGGTCGGCCACAAGTCACTGGCCCATGGCCCAGCCGTCCTGCCCCCCTCCCTTCCCAGAGCCTGGACTTGCTTGCTTGGACATCCCGAAGAAAGTGAGGTGGTCAGCAGAGGCTCTGCCCACCTGCCCTGTCTGTGCCCAGGTCGGCTGCTTGTCCCTCCGGTCAACCTCGACTGACCGCACAGGCCACCCTTACATGAGTGCCCTGTATCCCAGCCCTTGTCCACCAGGAGCCTGGTTGGGCACGCCCTTCTCCTCTCCTGCCACCAGCCACAGACCCGAAGTCACTTCTCCCCACAACACGGGCCCTGCTCCCTGCACAGCAAACCCCAAAGCTCGGAGACCTTCGCACTGTCTCCCCCTGGCGGCCTTCTCCCTCCACTGCGGTTGTCCTGGCAAGGCCCGCACTGAGGTCCACACAGGCCACACCCAAGGCCCTCGAGTCCCGGAAACCCCAGCTCCTCCCTGACCTTTACCTCCCCTCTCCCGGGCACCTGCCCTACATACGTGCTTGACTGGAAGCCTTGAACCGGGCCTCCAGGTTGACAGAGTTTTATTTCCTACATCTGATTAGGGCACAAGGCCCTTGGGACCGCTTGTGAGCATAGTGCTACTCAGTGCGCATCCCAGAACCAAGGCCGGGCGTGCGGGCCCCATGCTTGCGGCCCCGGATCTGCAGGAGACAGTAAAAACACGGGCCTAGTCTCCCGCTGCCCCACCACTCCTGGCCCCCCTCCAGGCACCAGGCACCACTGACCCCAGGGCGGGCCTGGAGGGGCAGCCAGGCCTGAGGGGCGCAGGTGCACCCAGGGCACCTGCAGCCCGCCCCCTCACTCCGGGGACTGGGGTAGGCAGCGACCCAAGCCCAGGCCCGCACCCCAGTTCGCTCCGCCCGCCCAGCGCCCACCCTTTGACCGCGGGAGCAGCTGCCTGGCACAGCCGCAGTCAGGAAACAAAGGCCCTTTTCGTCTCCTAGGGGCCAAGGGCGGGGGGTTCCGTCGGACAGCACTCAGGCTGCGGCCCATACGGAGGCTGAAGTCTCCAGGGCGCCCTGGGACTCCGCGCCTCCGCTCACTGCCTTGGTACTGCGCTCTGCGTTTTGCAGAGGGCGGAAACCACGGGGGTCTCCCTTCGGGGGGTTCCGCGCGGGGCGCGCCGCTCCGGGGGGCTTCCCACCCCGGCTGCAGGCTCAGTGCGCGCACTGGACGCGCCGGCCCTGGGCTGCCTCGCAGACCTGTACGCGTCGTGCCCATTTCACCAGCGATCGCGGGGGCCCCGGGACCCCCGAACCAGCCGCCGAGGCCGCTGGGAGGCGGGGCCTCGCCTGGGGCGGGGCCTCGATCTAGGGGCGGGGCTTCCTCTCGACGGGGCCTCGCCCACCACCCGCGCCGCTCCCGATTGGCTGGCGGCCGGGGCGGGGCCGCGGGGCATTGTGGGTCGCTGCACTGCCGCTGCTACCTCGCCATGTCGGGCTCCCCGGTAAAGCGGCAGAGGATGGAGAACGCGCTGGACCAGCTCAAGCAGTTCACCACCGTGGTGGCCGACACGGGCGACTTCCACGGTGAGCCGCGCGGGGCCCCGAGTGCGGTCGCCGGCGGAGGCCGTGCGGCGGCGGGTCAGGAACGCAGATCTGGTGCGCTCCGGGCCCGCCTTCCCGCTGACCCGCGCCGGGCTCTGCCGCTCCGCCGTCCCGCACCCACGGTGGGGACTCGGGGAGCTCGGGGCCGGCGTCGGGACGGACCACCCGAGCGCGGGGCCGGAGAACGGCGCTCGGGGCGTGGGCGCGCAGCGGAGCCACGCCCCCGAGCCGAGGGCGCCCCGGCAGCCAGGCGGGACGGCGCTCTAGCCCGCGGGCGTCGGGTCGCGAGGGCACGGGATCGGGGAGGGTGCGAGGGGAACCCCGAGCCGGGCTGCCCCGGGCGGTTTTGACTGCTGAGCAGGACACGACTGGGTGCCGGGGTCACCCTTGGGCTTTGCTCCCGCCCGTCACACACTCCACACCCGGCCTCGGGCGCAGGGCCACCGGCTGCGGCCCGTGCCGGCCACCGGGCCGCGGAGCTCGGCCAGAGCCCGGGGCGCCGGGCACAGCAGGGGCCGTGCTGTGCCAATTTGGATCAACTGGTGTGGTTCATCCTTCGCCCGGGAGCGTGGAGGGCTCCGCGGCCCATCGGGAGCCCCCAGCCCGTCCCGGCGACTGGTCGCCCCTCCGTTTCGCCGAAGGAACTTGCATTTCCAGGGAGCTGGTGCCTTGTGGGCGTGAGCTCCGGGGCTCCCAGCGCGGAAGCGCCTCCTCTCTTTTCTGCTTTCTCATGCTGACTTGAGAAAGTGGGTGTCACCCCTCTTTGGTAGTACTGAGTAAGAGCGTTTTGTTTTCTTAAGAGGGTTGCTTTTATCTAGCAGAGCTCACCAGCATGAATAAGCATGTTTGGCGATCAGCCTGGGGCCGACCTATGGGCTTGCTGGCCTTGTACCTTAACCCTCTGACCATCTAAGGCCTCCAGGGGGTCTGGAGCCCCAGGCCAGGGGCCTCGGTCTCCTCTTCATCTGCCCTGGGTCATCGGGACCTCGGGGCGACGACCCCAGTGGGACCCTGGCGGCTGTTTCCCTGCCTCTGAGTGATCGTGGGCTTTGGCCCAGGGGCATCCGGGGTCTGTGCTGTGTCCTGCAGGTTGTCGGTTCCACCTTCTGGGAAAGGCTTGCTGTCTTACTTCTCTTTCTCTAGAGGTATCCAAACCCAGGTGCTGGCATTATAAGAATGCATTAGCTGATGCTGTCTGTCCATAAACGTTAGCAGGTAGTTGTGGGCCTGTGGTTTTGTGGGCACTCGTGAAGGTTCTTACTTTCGTGGTGTGGGGATCTCAGGCCTCTTTGTAAATACAGCCAAAGTGGGGCTGCTTCACCCAGAACTGGGCCCCTCCCAGTCCCCGTTTTGCCTTCACCAGACCTGAAGGCAGTCGGCTGAGCCCCAGCTCCACCTCGCAGTTGTAAGTCAGCTCCATCGAGGCCTGACTCTCTCCCCAAGGAAAGGCCCGTTGTCAGTGCATCAGCCGGGGTTACACACACCCTGTGTCGTAAGCACCGCCGCAGAGCACTGCTTTCCTAACCCGCTGTTTTGAAAGAGACGCACAAGAAGTTGCGATATTAGTCCGCAGGGTCCCAAGAACCGTGGGCCCAGCCCCCCGGCTGTGGTGGCACCCTGTGTGACCATGGTGTGATCAGGCCCAGGCGCCTGGCACTGGGTTATTAATGGGCCACGGGCCTGGCTCAGTGGCCGCCAGTGTCAGCCTGCTCGGGGAGGGGGCTGCTCTGGGGCGGGTCTGTGACAGTGCAGATCCTTGTGGGCGCAGTTAGGACACAGGTGCCCCTCCCAGGGCCTGCCGGTGCCTGACCTCCTCCCCATCTCTGCGGTCCTGCCAGCAAAGGGCACTTTGAACACACTCCTGTGGCCCTGGCCCCTGTGGCTCGGCGGGTTGAGTGCCGGCCTGCAAAGCACGAGGTTGCCGGTTTGATCCCCAGTCAGGGTGCACACTGGGCGTGCGGCAGGCAGCTGATCACCGTTTCTTGTGCACGTTGATATTTCTCCCTCCCTTCCCCTCTCTAGAAAGTTTGTGAATAAAAACCTTAAAAAAAAAAAACAAACTAATCTGCCCCGTAAACTCGCTGAAGCCTCACGTCCCCTGGCCGCGTTGCACACCCGTGTCCTGCCCCGACGGCCGGCCGGCAAGGCTGCAGGCCAGCCCCGCGGGTTCCCGGGGACTCAGCTGGGTTCCCTAGGAATGGGCGTGTTAAGGAGAGAGTGCCTCAGAGGGGAAAGCCAGCAGTCGTCCGTCACCGAGTCTGGTCGCCGTCACTGGCGCTGCATGGGAGCTGGACGCGCCCTCTGCCGTGCTGACCACGCTCGGCTGCCTCCCCGCCCAGCACGGCAGGGACCCTCCATCCCTGGCCCTGGTGTCGCCGGTGGAGCCGCCGTTGTGCAAACAGCTGCCCCTCGGCCGGCCTCCCGGGGCGGGGAGGGACCTGTGTGTGCAGGGTGGCTGTACCCCGACTCCGGAAACACTTTTATTTCTCTAAGACTTATTTAATCTTTAGAGAGAGGAGAAGGGAGAGAGAAAGAGGAGCATGAATGTGAGAGAGAAACATCACATGGTTGCCTTGCACACGCCCCCAGCCTGGCCCGCAACCCAGGCTGCGCCCTGATTGGGCATCAAACCGACACCCTCACAGTTTGCAGGACGGCACCCAGCCCGCAGCAGCCAGAGCTTCGCAGACGCTCTGGACTCTGCCTCTGTGCCCAGGGCGTAGGGGGCACCTGGCACGGACTGCGGGGTGGAAGTGAGCCCCCACTTATCTCCTGTTCCCCAAACCCTCCCTCCAGCCATCGACGAGTACAAGCCCCAGGATGCCACCACCAACCCGTCCCTGATCCTGGCGGCTGCGCAGATGCCCGCCTACCAGGAGCTGGTGGAGGAGGCCATCGCCTACGGCAAGAGGCTGGGCGGGTGAGTGCCGGGGGCCGGGAGTGCGGTGGGGGCCACTGAGGGGCTTGACCCCTCACCGACGGAACTGCCGTTCTCGGGCGTCCTGCCCCCAGGGCCGTCGTCTCGTGTGTGTGCATTGTCACCGGCTCTGCCGGCGTGTTCCTTATGCAAAGCAGGCGTGCAGCTGGGAGCCTGGTGCGCCTGTGTGGGTCTCCACAAATGTGCCTTTCCGAGGGGTCGTTTTACACTTTCATCAGGGTGAGGACGGTGCCCTCGGGGAACAGCGGCCCCTGGTGGTCTGGGGGCATCAGGCCCACTCTGTGCCCTGGGTCTGCCCTCTCCCACCACGCACTCCCCCAGGTGGCTTTGCTTCCCCTTCTCCCACGTCTGGGCCTCGCCCCGTTACGGCAGAAGGCCACGGCGCTCCCGGCGTTAGTGGCGAGGCGTGTCTTCGCACTCACGTGCCCTCCGCCCCGGTCAGCGGCCCCACGGCTCTGGCCGTGGCGTGCTGGCCTGAGTGAGACCCCTCTGTGGGCTTGGGGCCAGCAAGGACCCTCGGGCGGCGGCCTGTGCTGGGCCCAGCGCTGTGCGCTGCGCTTCGCCCGTCTACCCAGGCAGCTCCAGAGGGGGTTTTCCCCACGTGCTCGGAGATGGAGGGGTTCCGCTGGGAAGAAGGCGGTTCCGGAGGTGACGTGGTGGTGACGGCCGCACCACGGCGTGACTGCTCCACGCACCCCGAGCTGCGCACGGGGCCGGGCACTCCGTGCGGGGCGGGGTCCCCGGGACCGAGGGTGGCACGCGAGGGCTCTCGGAGGGGACGCGGGCATCCGCTTTGCAGGGCCCTTTGCACCCGACCCCACGGGCTGCTGCCCGTGTTTTCCCTCTGGATTTCAGGGCCCAGGAGGAGCAGATCCAGAACGCCATCGACAAGCTCTACGTGCTGTTTGGGGCCGAAATACTGAAGAAGATTCCGGGCCGCGTGTCCACGGAGGTGGATGCAAGGTAAGGGCGTGGGGCGTGGGGTGGGGGGCGGGGCCCAGCCCTGCCTGTCTGCCTGCCCCCCTCCGAGGAGGCCGGCCCAAGCCGGGGTGGCGGAGGGGTGTGCGCACGCCACCGGCTCGCTCGTCCTCGGCAGCTGCCCCGAGGTGGCACCTCACTGCGGACCCCTGGCTCTCGCAGGCTCTCCTTCGACAAGGACGCCATGGTGGCCCGGGCCAGGCGGCTCATCGAGCTCTACAAGGACGCCGGGGTCGGCAAGGACCGGGTTCTGATCAAGCTCTCGTCCACCTGGGAGGGGATCCAGGCCGGAAAGTGAGTGTCTCCCTGTTCCAGGGGTCGGGGCCCACGGCCCAGGTGGGCTGTCGGCTGCCAGAGCTGGTGCGTCTGGGGCCAGGTCCCGAGGTCCTGTTCGCTGACGCTCGGAAGCCAGTGTCCCGTGAGACACCCGCAGCTGTGTCACCAGCCCTGTCCCTACCGGGCACGCTCACGCTCACAGTGCAGGGAATCGGGCCTCTCCGGCCCAGCACACGCCCCCAAGCGGGAAGGCAGGGTGGGAGGGCTGGAGTGCGGCCCTTGGGTCTCCCCGGGGCAGCGTGGGGGGTGCCGCTGTTGGGGCCCTGTGTCTGCCCCGCCCCCGCTGGCAGCCACTCCTCCACTCGCCCGGCCTGTTGCGGGCGTCACACAGACGTATTGTGACACGTGGCCTCGGCTGGCACAAGTTGGGGGCTCAGCCCACCCCGGGGGGTCTGGGCTGTGTTCTTTCCCAGGCAGATGTTCGGTGCGTGTGCACACCCCATCGTGTGCATGTTTGTTCTTCCCTGTGCACATGCATGGCTGTTCCCGCCCCTGGGGCTCACGGATGACGCTGCTGTGAACGTCTGGGTGCAGCCATGGCCCAAACCCAAGCGTGCGGGTCGTCCGGTTATTAGGTGTTTGCCCTTTCGGGGAGCTGCAGTTTCTCACTGCTGCTGCCCAGCTGTCTGCCCGCTCCCGGCGTGGGTGCCGGCCCTTAGCCACCCCAGCGCGGCCACGTGGCAGAGACCCTCCTGAAACTCCCGCCGTGGGAGTTTGTGGCTGGAGGGGTCTGAGCAGAGGCTCAGCTGTCCATGCCCCCGCCACGTGATGGGGCACGGTCACGGCCCTGTACCTGGGGCTCAGCCCAGGTTGTCACAGTGGACGGAGGGGTGGCCTGGGAAGGGGGAGAGGGGTCAGGGGGCTGTGGCTCCGGGTGAGACAGCAGGACAGCGCGGTGGCAGCTGGCCCCGGGGGCTCTGCGCTGAGCCGAGGGGCGGGCTGGGGGCTCCTGCCTCTGTCCCTGTTGGCGGCGTGGGTTTGACGGACAAACCCCGGCCGGAGAGAACGGGGCGCGCCCTGGCGCGGGCTGGGGAGCTCACACCCGCCCGTGCCCGTGCCCGTGCCCGCAGGGAGCTGGAGGAGCAGCACGGCATCCACTGCAACATGACGCTGCTGTTCTCCTTCGCCCAGGCCGTGGCCTGCGCCGAGGCGGGGGTGACGCTCATCTCCCCCTTCGTGGGGCGCATCCTCGACTGGCACGTGGCCAACACGGACAAGAAAGTGTACGAGCCCCTGGAGGACCCTGGTGAGCAGCCCGCTGGGGGCGGGGGCGGGGGCGGGGCCGGCAGGGCAGCGGGGGGGGCCCAGTAGCCACTCTGCCTGGCCACCCCCTCCAGGGGTGAGAAGTGTCACCAAGATCTACAACTACTACAAGAAGTTTGGCTACAAGACCATCGTCATGGGCGCCTCCTTCCGCAACACGGGCGAAATCAAGGCGCTGGCGGGCTGCGACTTCCTCACCATCTCCCCCAAGCTCCTGGGGGAGCTGCTCAAGGACGGCAGCAAGCTGGTGCCCACGCTCTCGGTCAAGGCCGGTAGGTCCCTGGCCGCTCCAGGCCACCTGCCCCTGGGTCACCCGAGGGCGTGGGTGACAGAGCCGAGGAGGCACGGCTGCGGGCGGAGCTGGACCGTGGGGGTCCCCTGCGCTGGGTGGAGGGCTGGGAGGGCGCAGGGCAGCCCCGAGCCCTGGTGGGGATGGCGGTGTGGGCGGACACGGAGGCCATGCCGCCTGTCCTCCCAGCCCAGGCCAGTGACCTGGAGAAGATCCACCTGGACGAGAAGGCCTTCCGCTGGCTGCACAACGAGGACCAGATGGCCGTAGAGAAGCTCTCGGACGGGATCCGGAAGTTTGCTGCCGACGCCGTGAAGCTGGAGCGGGTGCTGGCGGTGAGTGCCCCCGCCGGGGTCGGGCGGGGCTGCCACGTCCTGTGGGACCCCCAGCGCGCCCCCGGGAGACCCTGGGGGCCGGCGGGTGCCCTGCGGGTGCTCAGAGGGCAGCCTGATGTGAGCCCCCGGTCCCTGTCACCCTTGGTTTCCAGGAGCGGATGTTCAGCGCGGAGAACGGGAAGTAGCCCGGGGCCGGGTCCTGGACGACCCGGCGTGGAGTCCGGGTCCGATGTACACGAGCCTGGTGACGAGTCTTGCAATTTTTTTACTGATTGGAGCAGGGACAGATCACAGATTTCTGATTTTATGCAAAACTTTTGCCTAATGCATTAAATAGTCACGTTTTCCGCGCTGTGCTTCATTTCCCCACCCCGTCCCCCTGCACCAGCCGTCCCAGGCCCCAGCCCCCAGCCCCTTACGCAACACGGGCAGCCAGCCCCACCCTTGTGGCGTGAGCTGTGGCCTGAGCCTGGGGGCGGGGCGCACTCCGCTCCTCTGGCCGAGCCGGCCGCGGTCCACTGCTGCTTGTGCCACTAGCGCCACCTGGTGGGGGCGGCACAGCAGCACTGGCCCATCCGAACCCTGGAGCGAGGGGCACAGGGCAGCCTCGTGTTTGGACTTTGCACCCCACGTGCTATACTGGGAACGGGGCTCAGGTGGTGCTGGGTGGATGCACAGGTGGCTCTCCACCCCCACCTCCAGGGTGCAAGGCAGGTGATGTAGCACAGGATCTACAAGGGTGCCTGGGGTGGAGGCTGGACAGAAGCAGGTGCCAGGGAACAGCCCTGCACATGAGGCGCCCTGGGCACACAGAAGGGTCAGCAAAGAACCACCGGGGCACCCCCCCTCACCCTGGGGCAGCTTTCTCCTCTGGAGCCAGCCTGGGCTCCTTGTCCCACAGAGGCACCAGGCACTGGCCAGTGGGGCAGCACGGCCACCCTCCCCAAGGGCTCCAGGGACAGGCAGGCTCCGCTGTGGGCTGTGCCACCTTGGGCACCCAGCCCGGCTTGGTGCATCCAGGATGCTGAGGCGGCTGCTGACCCCTCCGCTGCTGGGCACCTCCCGGCCCCGGGGGTCTGCACGTGTGTCTGGCAGGATGGGTCCAGCCCCAGCTTTAGGCAACACCGTACCCCGTGTCCCGTCCTCACCACAGGGCAACACTGCTGCCCCCCCAACCAGACTGCACTCGCAGGGCCACAGCTTGGGTCCGTGAGCTCCCAAGAACAGTGCTGCTGGGGATGCGCTTGCACTGCTTCTGCAGGGGAGGCTTTGGGGTCTGTTCCCAACACCCCTAGGCACGTGGGGGAGACCTGCCCCCCACCCCCTCAGCCCGCCCAGGCCCTGAGCATGGAGCACACGGGGCCTGTCAGACTTCAGCGGGTGTCACTGACTCTCTGTGGGTCACAGACCACACACCCCCAGGCAGGTTTTCCAGGTGTTCGTGCAAAGAGCCAGCGCTGCACAGGGCCCCACAGGCTGACAGGTCAGGAGCCGGATCTGCTTGCCCCGGGAACGCTGGGCCCAGTGGGGCTGGGAGGAAACAGACCCAGCGGGACAGTCAGGCCCCCTGGGGGGAGGAACCCGAGGGTGGGTGGTCAGGCTGTGCTGGGAGATGGCCAACCGGAATCCTCAGGGAAGGCCTGTCCAGGGCCTGTGGGTGTGGGACAGCCACACGGGAGGCCCCTCTCCAGGCACAGCCCCTGCCTGTGTGTCCGGCCCGACCCTCGGGGCACAGGGAGTGCTGTCCACGAAGCCTGCGGGGCGCTGGGACGTGAGCAGCGGCTCTCCCGATGTCCAGAGTGCGTTGCCCAGGCCCGACCTGGGGCCACCGCCACGCTCTGAAACCACACGCAGGGCAAGCGCTCAAATCAGGGCAGGTCTGGGGGCCAGGAGCTGTGACCATAAGAAGATTCATTTCCCTTCCCCTTGACCCAAGTCCAAAGTGCTGAGCCAGTTCCCGCCAGCTGGCCCGTCCCCACACAGCCAGCCAGCACACAAAGGGCTGGGGGCAGCCGCCAGCCAGGGCAGGGCCCCCACCACCTGGGAACAGCTGCTGGTGTCCCTGCCCCACCTAGGTGTGCGGGGACGGGCAGAGGGAGACACACCCAGTGCCCCCACCCCAGGACACCGACCACATGGAGTCCGGACCCCAGCTGGCGGCCAGACTGACCCCCCTCCGGGCTGACTCCTGGAGGCCTCCGCAGCCCCGACAGGCCTGCCTGGAGTACAGAGTCACTGGGGCTGGCGTGGAGGCAGGGTCCCTGCAGGCCCGAGGCACCCAGCTGCCTCTGGGGACTCCGGGGCCGCCTGGAGGGGGTGGCATCCACAGGCGGGCAGGGGGCTCGGCGGGCACCTGTGCGTCACTTCCTGCGGGAGAAAGGCCAGGTCAGGGCTCGGGCCCTGGCACTGTATGTCACAGGGAACGCGGCCCAGCACAGGTTCACACGTGGCCAGTCACAGCCAGGGACCCGCCCACTCCCACCGCTGCCCACGGCCCTCACCGGCTGCCACAGAGAAACAGCAGGTTCTGCACGGCAGGGACGGTGGAGTGCGTGTTCTGGCCGGTGACGAGGTGGCGGTCCAGCACCACGTGCACTGCGTCCGGCTCGCTGGCTGCGGGAGACCCCAGGGCGCGGGCCTCAGGCCGGGCCGCAGGTGGGCGCCGCCCCAGACAGACCCCCACCCGCCCCGTCGGGGCTGTGAGCTCGGGGGGCACTGTGGTCGGCGGGGCGGTCAGTCTGCCTGCCGGGGTTTCAAAGCGGCCGGCCCCCGGGTCTGCGGCACACTCGGCTCCAGCAGGGTGGCCCCCGCCCGCCCCCGCCGGCCCCCACCCGCCCCCCTCACCACTGAAGCTGGCGCCCGCGTCCTTCACGAAGTCCTCCACGACGAGGGGCAGGCGGGCGAAGCCGGGGGCCCTGACGAGCTCGTACACGGAGGGCTGCAGGGGCAGGGGCGCCGCCCGGGTCAGGCAGGCCCAGCTGGGGAGGGGGCGGGGGTGGGGCAGGGGGAGCAGTGCCTGCCCCACGGGCTTCCAGGGAGACAAGCCGGGGGGAGTGGGAGGGGGAGAGTGTCACCCCCGGCCCACAGCATCGAGGCCCATGGGAGACCAGAATGAGCGGAAACCGCCAGCGAGTGGAAGGGCTGGGGTGGGCGGGACACAGGGCCACGTGGCGCATGGGGTGCGGGTCGTGGCCGCAGGAGCTCCGAGGAACTGCCCGCTCTCCCCCCCGCTGTGCAGTCCGCACCGGGGCCTGGACCTCGGACCAGGCTGCCCCGTGCAGCGGCCGGCAGCCAGGGCCCAGCCCTGCCCCAGGGGCCCCTCCCTGGGTCTGCCCCTGCCCACTGCGGCCCCCAGCCTGCAACTGCGGAACCGGTCCTGGCTCCCCATCCGACCAGCACCCCAACGGAGGCCTGAATCCCGGTCAGGCACAAGACCAAGCCGGACCCGACCCTGCCCTTCCCCACGTCCACAGCCAGCTCAGCCAGCCCGGCTGTCAGGGGCCCTGGGGGCCATCTCCTCGGTGCTCGCCCGCAGCTGGACGGGCCTCCCAGGACGTCAGCAGGGAGGGGAGTGTGGGGGGGGACGGGCAGGCACTGCCAGCCTGGTGCCACCTGGACAACTGTCACCCTTGCCAGCGGTGACCATGGGCCCCACAGGGTCCCTCACGTGCCTGAGCTTGGGACCCCCGGGAGGCACTCACCCCCGTCACGCTGTAGCCTTGGAACACCCAGGACCTGTCCTCGTTGGTGGCACAGCACAGGGCGGCGACTCCATGGCCAATGGCGCAGATGGGCTCTGGAAGCAGCAGACGGGCGGCACTGAGGTCCTGGGCGGCCGCCTGGCCCCTGCCCCTCCCCCGCGCCCCCCCACCCCACCCCCGCCCGCTGGCGCTGCTCAGGCACCGGCTCAGTGGGGAGTCCGGTCTCTTGGCCAACCCCGGGGCACTCTGCCCTCAGGACAGCCTGTGCCGCTCCAGGCCCAAGGACAAATGTCTGGACGCACAACGGCCACCGCTGTCGCTGGTGTCGGCCGCAGCCCACCTGGAACCCTCCCTCCTCCTGGCTGCAGTGGACTCCCTCCCTCGGGGCCCCAGAGGCAGCACCCCCGCCCAGGCTCGCCTTGGCGGTCCCCCCCGGCCCCCGGCCTTGGCTCCGAGCCTCCCACCCAGAAGGCTGCCTGGCACGGGTCCGTTCCCACGGCTGAGGTGCCGGAACAGCGGCGCCGGTCCTGGCGCTGCTGGGACAGAGGCCCCTTCTCGCCGACAAAGGGCGCTGTGTGCAGCCGGGGCTTCTGTCTGCCGGCCCCTGGTGAGCTGAGCGTCCCGCCCTGCCCAGCTGACACGCCCAGCACCGCCGGGGGCTGGCTGGGGCGTCAGGCCAGGACCCCCCAGAGCGGCCTTCCTCCCGGCCCCCGCTGGCTGTGGCCCCGAGCCTGGACGCCACACTGCCCCACCAGGAAGAGAGCAGGCACCCTGCCTGACCCCTCGGAAGGACCGAGGGGCCGGGCAGAGGGCCCACAGGGGGGCCGACCGAAGGACAGGGCGGGTGCCCCACCCTCACGTGTGTGACAGCTGAGCAAACTTGTCCCCTCTCGGGTCGGATGGCTGGAGCTCGTTACACCCGCGGTGACCGACGTCTCCCCTGCAGGACCCAAACCCGCATCCCAGGGCTGCCGCCGCCCCCCCACCCCCACCCCTGCAGCAGGCACCTCCTGCCGCCCCGTCCTGTCCGGTCGGCACAGCGCCCCTCCCACCCACTCCCAGGCCCGGGGCCACCTACTGCTCTCAGAGCGGAAGTGCTGCAGGATGCGGGCCAGGGACCCGCTGCTGGCCAGGTCGGCCAGGGCCCCCGGACAGCTGGGGATCAGGAGGGCGTGGTACCGGGCACCTGGGGGCAACCACGGGCCAGTCAGTCCTCTGCCCCTGCCACCAGGCGCCACCCTGTGTCACTTCCCCCACCCCAGCCGAGGCCCCCAAAGCCCATGCACCACCCTGCGCCCTGTACCTCCAAGTGTCCGCCACTTGTCCCCCGCCCCCCATGGATCCATGGATTGGGGTGGGGGCCGGGGGAGGGCTCTGGGCCCAGGAGGCAGGACAGGAGGCGGCCATGGCGGCCGCGGTGCTGGGCAGCAGGCCTCAGGGAGCCCCGGGAGCAGAGGAGGGAGCTCTGTGGGCCGCAGCAGACCCGCCCGAGACCCCACACGCCCGACCCTCCCGGGCCCTGGGCCCTCACCGTCGATGGACTCGAGCTTGGCAGGGCTGGCGTAGGCCTTGAGGCGGAAGTCCTGCACCCAGCGCGCATTGCTCTCGTTCACGTCCACAAAGTCCATGGTCTTCCCCTGCCAGGGCCCCGAGCCAGAGGTCAGCCGGGACACCCCCTGCTGGCTCACGGGGATGCTCAGGGGCTCTGACAGGGGGGTGGGGACCGACGGCAGCCCCCTCCCTAGGGCCCAGCACATCCCGAGCTCCGCCCGTCTCAGGCCCACCTGCCCCTCGCTGGTCCTCAGTCTCCTGTCTCTAGAGCAGGAGCAACTGCCCCCCCCCCCCGGGGGGTGCCACTGGAAACATGCAAAATGACAAACATGTGACACCACTGCCGTGACCCCAGGTCCCACGCCAGCAGAGGGCTGCACACCCTCCCTCGCTCTCCTGTGCAGACACTGGCCCCCACGGGCCAGTCTCCCCGGCCACGGCTGGGCCCGGGGTCTGATGATGCCGGTGGGGTCCTGGCCCCTGAGTGCAAGCCAGCCGCCCGGGGTCACAGCAGCCGCAGGCTCACCACTTGCCCCAGAAGCAAGAGAGGTGCGGGGGTTGTGGCTGGACTTACCCCGGGGGTGGCCACCTGCAGGTTGAAGGCAGCGCTGGCCAGCGTGAAGCAGTGATGGAAGGACTGGGCTGAGACCCCTGCAAGAGGTACCTGTGCGGTGAGCACCGGGCCAGACAGCCCCTCCCGCCCGAGGGGGCTGCGCAGACACCCCAGGGGGCCTCCCGCCCCCTCCTGCCACGCCCAGCTGGGAAGAGCGGCGGCCGCTTCTCAGGAGGCTGGACCCACACCCTTCCTCCTCCGTGCTGACCCTGGGCCCCAATCCCTCCACCTCGTTTCTCTTCACCCACACTCGCGAACCAACACGCGTTCTTTGTAAAACGTTCACACGTGGAACAAAACAGTCTTTCTAACCCCCCCCCCGCCCCGACCTCTTGGGATGCTGCCTTCCCAGTTCCTCCATCCCTTGCTCCTGCACCCCAGCCTCCCACCCACTTCATCCCAGGGCCCCTGGAGGGACTCTGCAGGGCCCACTAGTCCTGCCCACAGAGCCGGGGGGGTCTTTCCAGAGCCGTGCCCCCCCCCATGTCCTCCACACCCCCTGCTCCTGGCACGGCCAGGCCAGTGCCACCCGCCCCTTATTCCCTGCTCCAGCCAGCCGTCTGTGCAGGTAACCCCCAACCTGTCTCCCCGGGACTGAACCCCACTCTCAGTGGCTCCGACCGCCCCTGAACTCCCCATGGGTGGGGAGTGAGGGTAGACCCCGGCTGGCCCCTCCTGCCCTCACTCTGGGCGCACACCCCTCAGGGCCCCTAGGGGGGCCCCTGGGCTCAGCACACTGTGACCCCAGGACCTGCAGTCCTGTCTCCCGATCCCACTTGAGCAAATACAAAGTAGAGCAGACCAGGTCCCGGCCCTGGTCCCCCACCTGCCCCCATGTGACCTACGGCTCATCACTTCCCTCTGGGACGGGGGAGCTCAGAACAGCACCGGGTGCCCTGCTCTGCTCACAGCCTCCCCGCCGGGGATCAGCACCCACAAGCCCGAAGCAAGAGCCGACGCTGGTAAGACCGGACCCCGTGAGCCCCAAGTCCGCCTCTGCTGGCCCCTTTACCACTGTGCAGCGCCGAGGCTCCCCGCCCCCCCCCCACAGGACGGCCCCTCTCCAACCCCTCGTCCTCCTCGGTGCGTGCCAGCGCCAAGGCTTTCTGACCCCCCGCCTTTCCGAGCCCCCAGGTCCTGGGGACACACCCATCGCCCCTCACCGCGCCCCGGCCTCCCCTGTCCTGTCCCTGAGAGAGCAATCCCGGGCCCTGGGCGCTTGCTCCGGCCTCCGCGCTGCGGCCCCGGCGCCCGCCGTGCTCCCTCCGCGCCAGTCTCACCCTCCGCGGCGCCGCTGGCCACGAGGAGGCAGGCAGGCCTGCTTGGGAGACGCTCGGACGCCATGGGCTCCACTGCAGTCCGCGCTAACTGCGCGTGCGCGTCTGTGAGTGTGTGCATGTGCGCGCGCGGGGGCGTGTGCTCGCGCAAGGGGGGGTGTTTGTGCGTGCGCGCGCGCGCGCCTCGCAGTGGGGAACGCGGCTCACGTGCCGCGGAGGCCGGGGACGGGGCCTGGAGCGGCGCCGAGCGCAGGCGCAGCCCCGCCGCCCCGCCCCGCTGGGTCCCCGCGCCCTTGCCCGGCGCGTCGGCAGGTGGCCCGGAAGCACCTGGGGAGCCGTGAGCGCGCCGCGGGGCCGCGGGAGGGCCCCGAGGGCCGTCCCCTGCCCGCCCGCCCCTGGTTGCGTTCAGCAACAGCTCCTGCCTCTTCCCCGTCCTTTCTCAGGCAACGGGCGCTTCCTGCGGACGCTGCGGGAGCGGAGACTCGGGGGGCATGTGAACCCGGAGGAAGACGCCTGCGCTGTGCACCAGGATCCCTCCCCGTGGATTCAGCAACCGAACCTGCGAGCCCCCGGAGCCGCGCCGGGAGGCGGGGACAGCGCCGACCCCGAGGGGCTCCTGCCCTGGGGTGGGGGCTGCGCCGTGGGTTCGCGGGAGGAAATCCCAGCCCCCTCCGGGGGTGAGAGGGGAGGCCATGGGGGCAGCACGTCTGAGGAGGGAAAGACTCGGAGGAGGAGCCGGCTGAGGCTTGGGGCTCCAGGCAAGGGGGTTGTGCGGGTGTGCCCGGAGTCGGGGCGGGGCGGCTGAGGGAAGACAGGCTCTCCGGGCTCGCTGGGGCCCCGCGGAGCCCCTGGAAGAGGGGGTGACCCTTCCTGAGCCAGGGGTTGCCGAGTTAGGTCAGGGAGGTGGGCCGGGCTGTGGGGCCGCATCGGAAGCGGTTTCATCGCAGGCCGTGGCGGGGGCGGCTGGCAGTGGTGGGCGGTGCTGCTGAAGCCTGGCCCGGAGGGGAGGGAGGCCCCCCTGCCGTCAGTGTGGCCCTGCCAGCCTCCTCTGATAGGAAACCCCTGTCGTGGGTGGGCGCTGCCGAAGCAGACGAGTCTAGGCTGTGGCCCCTCCCATGGGCGCCCCCCCGCCTTCCCAGCACCGGCTCTGCCCGCTGCCGGGTTCAGCCCCACGCTTCCTGGGGCCCTGACCCCCACCCCCCCAGCTGACACAGGAGCACCTCGCCCTCACCTACTGCAGGGCCCTCCCACCACCGGGCGAAGCAGCGGCTGGGGACTCCTGGCACTGGCAGGGCATCAGGACAGGGGGCAGGTGGGGATCTGGCCCCTGTGTTGGGTGGGTGGAGACCAGCAGGCCTGAGGTCACAGGCAGGGCCTAGCCAATGAAAAGCGTTCTGGGTCTAGGGAGGGACCCCCTCCCCACCATGCAAGCCCATGGGTGTTCAACCCAGGAGATGGAGGGGGGCTCCAGGGTGTCCCTGCTGGCCCCGCCCTGCCCACACCACCCTGGGGTGTCCCTGGAGCAGGCTGGCTGAGCCGCGGGTGCAGATCCTCCTGCTGGGGCAGCTCCGAGCCTCTAGGAGCTGCCGCCTCCCTCGTGGGGATTCACTGAGTCCTTCCTCTGTCTCCAAGGAAGCGGGTGGGGGAGGGAGCCAGGCCAGCGGTCACCGTGGCCAGGCCAGCGGTCACCGTGGCCAGGCCAGCGTGCGCCTGTGCTCACGGCGGGTGCACCCCCTGTGCACCTGGGGCCTCCCAGCAGCCCGGGGGAGCAGGTGCCCCCATCCAGGTCTCCTGTGTGGGTGTCATCTTCGGTCTGCATCTCCCGAGTGAGTGTGCATGGCCTCCACCCCGGTCTGCGTGTGTGAGGGTGCCACCAGCTCCCGGGGCCGTCAGGCCTGCGACGGCGCAGCCCCTTGTGGCGGTCAGTGCTGCTGGAGCTCCAGCGTCAGCCACCGCTTCCCTGGAGATGCCGCCTTTCCCGAACACACCTGGCCAGACGCTGTGACCGGTCACCGGGACGCAGGGGGCCCCTATCTGCCCGGCCCTGGGACCAGGTGTGAGGCTGGGGAGCGGGTTGGGTGGGGGCAGCCGAAGACCCGGGAGTCGGAGGCCTGGCCTGGCAGCCAGGGCGAGGGCCTGGCGCAGCGAGTCACCCGCCACCTCCGCCCCTTGGGGCGGAGAGACTCTGACCACCAGCCCACGCCCTCATCTGGGGGAAGGCGGGGTCCCCCGGACGTGACGAGAGTGCACTCCAGTGTGGGGTCCCCAAAGAGGGGTGCTAGGAAGGAAAACAGTGGCCCCCACACGTGCTCCCTCGTCACCCCTGTCCAGGGTGCCCACACCCTTCAGAGCCCACCTGTGACATGAGAACCTGTGATGTGTCAGCGACGTGGGGACAGGCACCCAAGGCCCCGGTGCTCAGAATGCGAGGCCCGAGAGCGGAGGCCCCGGGGGGACCCCTGGTGGGAGCGAGCGGGCCGTGCTCGGTGGGGTCCCCGCCAGCCTGGCCTCACTCACTGCGTGCCGCCTGTATACCCGGAACCTCTCCGTGCCTGGCGTTTTCTCTATAACATTAAAGTTGTTCTGCAGTAAAAATAACTTAAAAGAGCCTCGGGGGTCCCTGAGAGTTTTTCGTGTCGGATGGGCCCCCCCATTCCTGAAGCTGAGGGAGCCGGTCAGGGCCCAGGGCCTCGGCTCGCTGGTTCTCCAGTGCCCGTGAGGGGGTGCTGGGGCCTGAGTGGGCGGGACACAGCCACAGGCGCTGACACAGTGAGGCCCCGGGATCGTCCGCTTCCCGGGGCTGGACCCGCAGGCCTGCTGGTGGGAGGGGACAGCTGATCTCCATGCACAGACCCTGGCGTCCAGGCGGACTGCAGGCCCAGATGGGAGCCGGGGATGAGAGCGCTGGGGGAGGACACCGAGCCCAGCCCCCGCAGCCCCCGTGGTGCGAGGAGCACAGTGGCCTCGGGACAGACCCAGGCAGGACCTCCGCAGTGAGGGCAGCATGCTGGGCGAGCTGGCCCAGGAGAGGTGGTGCCTGGGGCGCCCCGGCAGCTCCGTGCGTGCGCACAGCCCGCGGAGAAGTCCTACTGGCCGGTCGGGGTCGGGGTTGGGGCACCCACTCCGTCCAAGGAAAACGGACAGATGGCACCAGCAGGAAGAAACGCAAAAGGCAAACCCCAAGTGGCCCAGACCCCCGTGAAGAGGAGCGAGCGGGCCCCGGTCAGTGCAGAGGAGAAAGCCGGGAGAGGACGGCCGTCCCCACGCAGACTGGCAGGACCCCACGTCCTTCGCCTGATGCGGTGTCACGGGGGCGAGGGCAGCGGCACCCTTGTGGCTGACCCCCGGGCTCGAGGCGGGCAGCCACGTCAGGCACGGTGCATGGCCCGAGGCCCCACGGCAGGTGCGAACCCGAGACAGGTGCCCCGCCCCACGCCCACCGCGGGGCAAGGCACCGCGGCACGAGGGTGGGAGCGGCCCTGTGTCCGTGGACGGACGGGGGACGGGCACACGAAGCGTGGTCCCCACACAGACGGAGGGACATTCGGCCTGAAAGGGGTGGGCAGTCTCGGTTCCTGCTCACCCCGCACAGATAAGGCTGGGGTGGGATGCTGCCTGAACCAGACTCCCAATCGTGCGGCCCCTACGGGGGTCGGGTGCGCAGACAGGGGGGCGGGGGGCGGGGGGCCAGGGGCAGGGGGCGGCGCTGGGAGGCAAAGTTTCAGTTTGGCAAAAGGAAGAGAGTTCTGGAAACGGGGGCGGGGGTGGTGGTTGCACAACCGTGCGAATGCATTCAATGCCCCTGAGTTGCGCGTTTAAGAGATTAAGTTAAAGCACGTGGGTTGCCCTGGCCGGGTGGCTCAGCTGGGTGGAGCGTCATCCTCAGGCGCCGAGGTTGTGGGTTCGGTCCCCGGTCAGGGCGCCTGCAAGGAGCCAGCAGTGGATGCAAGGGGATCGATGCCTCTGTCCTCCCTCCCGCCCTCCCTCCACCTCTCTGAAACCAGCACAGAGAGAGTTTCCAGCCGTGTGCAGGGCACCCTCACAGGCCGGTGACTCTTGTGGCCACTTCGCCTGAAGTCCCAAACGGTCTGTGACAGCCTCGTCACGCCCTCACAGGGTTTGTAAGCAGAAGGAGGGAGCCTTGTGGGTGGAAAGTCACGGCACTCTTCAGACCGATACTGCCCGGCCTCCCAGTCACCCCTGCTCCCCGCCGCCCAGGTCTCCTAGAAGGGTCAGTCGGCCTGTCGGCGGTTTGGTTTTTAAGGTCGTAGAATAGATAATGGCAGAGGCGGCTGGACGGCAGGTGGTGGCAAGTGAGTCCAGCTGGGCTGAGTGAGGGCCCTGGTGTCGGGGGGGGTGGGGGTGGGGGGGAGGGGAGGGGAGGGGAGGCAGGCTGGCGATGGAGGCCCGGGGGAGCAGGAGCAGGTGGGCACAGGGCAGGCCGGGCGAGGGGCTGGTCTGCTGTGGACGGTCAGGACTTGATCTGGGGCTGCCGGGGTGTGGCCACTCTGCGAGGGGGGCCTGTGGAGGGCCGGAGGGGAAAGAAGTGCCCCTTGGTCACATCCACCAGGTAGGACGGGGGGGAGTGGAAGCCCACCGCAGGCCCTGCCAGGGTGGTCAGTGCCCTGACGGAACGCCGGCCTGCGGACCAAAGGGTCTGTCAGCTTGATTCCCAGTCAGGGCCCGTGCCTGGGCGGTGGGCCCCCAGTAGGGGTGAGAGGCAACCGCACATCGATGTTTCTCTCCCTCGCTCTCTCCTTCCCTTCCCCTCTCTCAGAAAATAAATAAATCTCTTTTTTAATAAAAAAAATTCCACAGCAGAGCTTGTGGGGTCTGGCGGCCTTGCTGCCCGAGCCCACGCCCTAACAGCGTGCCCCCAGCTGCGGGGTGGGTGGGAGGCGGTGACAAGAGGGGGAACCTCTCCACCCCTGGCTGCAGCTCCTCTCTGCCCCACCCCCAGGGATGGGGGGCTCACTGCAAAGAGAGGTGTAGAAAGGTCCCCGCCCCCCCTCAGCGGGAGAAGCCAGCCTAAGGAACAAGGTCCCCTTCCCCCACCCTGTGCACGGTGGCCAGCAGCCTGGGCCTGAGGGGGGGTCCTGCGCTCCTGGATGTCCATCTCGGTCAGGCAGCAGAGAGGCCTGGCTGCGGTCGCCCGGGGTGGGGCAGGCCCAGTAGGGGCAGGGAGGAGAGGCCACCAGGGTCAAGGGCATGGAGGTGGCAGGGGAGGACCAGGGGGTGTGCATGTGACCCCCACCCCGCCGCCGTGAGCAGGTGAGGACGCCAGCCCAGCCTTTGGACGAGAGTTTATTGTAGACTCGGCCTCCACTCAGGCCCGGGGTTGCCGTGGCTGGCTGGCCAGGGGAGGGCACGTCCGCTTCCCATCCTGCCCACCGCCACCACGCTGAGGGCCACTCGGGGACAGACCAGAGGCTCCGGTCCCACTGCAGGCACAGCAGGCGGTGGGCCCGGGTGACAGCCACCGAGTGGTTCTACTCTACCTGTGTTATTGCATTTATACGCTTGTTGGACTCGAAGGACGCTGGGGGAGGCGGGAGAGGCGCCTGGGGGCTTCTGTGGGGGCAAGGCAGACGTGGCTGCAGGGCGGGTCCTCGACGTCCATCCCCCCACCTCCCCCCGCGCCTGCCTGTCAGCGGCCCCCAGCCCCCGGACCGCCCCTGAGGCACGCGGGAGAAGGCGGACCACGGGAGCCTCTCCACAGACTGGCCTCTGCGCTGTCCGTGTACTCGGCTGGGGTGCGGTGGCAGGCGGAGGCGGCGTGGAAGCCTCGGGTCAGCACCTCCGCAGGCCCCCCCAGAGACCCTCACGCCCCACCCCCAGCTGCAACCAAAGAGCAGGAGAGGGGAAAGTGAACCGGCCACACCCTTTAATATCCCCAGGTGGCTGGGCCCAGGGCAGAGCCCATCCGGGACCCGTCAGCCTCGGGGCCCTCCCCTGCCCTGGGGGCTCGTCATGAAGCTGCTGCCGGGCAGCCCACGGGACCGCCGAGGCCCCTCGGGACAGGCTGGCACAGTGACCGGTGGCTGGGTGGGCCACGCTCGGGGTCCAGCCTGTCCACTGCCCCCAGGGACCCCAGCCCCCTGAGGCCCCTGCCTGACGTTGCAGCTCCGCCCTGTGCTGCGGTGACCCCGGAGCCCCGGCTGCTGCCGCCTGGCAGGTGGGGGGGTGCGCTGGGGGCCAGCCAAGGGGGTCAGCTTCCACGGCCAGGGCCCGTCCACCTCTCCCGCTGCGTGTCTGTGGGGCGTTGGTGTGTGTGTTTTTTACGTGGGACGGATAGATAGCTGTGAGTGGATTCGCATGCACAGGGTCCCCGAGGTCTGTACAGGGAGGGGCTGGGCCTCCGCCCGGGGGGCCAGCCGCCCTCACTTTTTCCGGACCAGGAAGACCACCCCCAGAATCAGGGCTGCGGCTGCCACAGCCACGCCCCCGGCCAGCAGCAGGGGCGTCAAGTTCTCGAAGGGGCAGGGGCCTCGCCCCCCGGGGCCCCCACTGGGCGCCTGGTCCTCCTCAGCCCCATCCCCAGGGCCCTTGGGCTCGGGGGATGCGTGGGGGCTGCCGGGGGCTGCAGGGGCTGGCTTCAGGTTGCTGTGGTTGTTGAGAAGGGCGGGGTCTGCCTTGGCCGAGGGCTTCTTGGCGGGTGGCGGGGTGGGGGCCACCGGTGGCTCCTGCTTCTCCACCGGGGCCTCCTTCTTCCCGGGCTTGGCCGAGGGGGCTTTCCCGTCTGCAGTCGGGGGGCCTCGGGCCTCGGCAGCGGCCTGGGTCACCTTGGCGTCGGGCTTGGGGCTGCTGGCCGACTTCCCTCTGGACTCCATGACGGCCGTGCAGGCGGGCTGCGTGGGGCGTGCGGACAGGCAGCGGCTGGGCCACGGCAGCTCAGGACAGCTCGCCCCGGGGCGTTACATGGACCTGGAGAGAGACAGAGGGAGGAGCTCCTGTCAGGCCCCCACTGGTCCCCACAGACACCGCCCAGTCCTCCCGGTCAGAGTCCTCCTCCTCCAGGGCCCAGCCCCCACCCGTCTCCCTCAGGGGCTCCCTGAGGAGCCCCTGACCACACGGGCAGGGGCCACGGGCTCCACGTGGGTGGGGGGCGGGGGAAGGGGATGAGACCAGCCAGAGGCCGCAGCTTCCTTGTCTGCAACTCGGTCTCGCCGTCACCTGCGCCGTGTCCGTGACACACTGGCCCCGGGCGGGAGGCCCTGATGGGAAGGAGAGCCCGCCCAGCCCGGAGAAGGGCGTGCGGTCAGGGGAGAGGGACCGCAGCCAGGGTGGGCCCGGGCAGAGCCGACTGCGTATCCACCCAGAGGGGGCTGGGTGCACGTGGGGGGAGCGGGGCAGGGCGGGAACCGGGGCCCAAGGCCACCAGGCCCTGGGCGTGGAACACTCGAGGTGCCTCCCCAGAAGGCTGCAGAGGCCAGGGGGGCAGTGACTGGCCTGTGCTTCCCGGCAGGGCGTCGACCCTGGGGCCCACCCCCAGCACTGGCCTCCCCTGCCCCAGCTCAAGGGCAGGGCGTCCTTCCTGAGCCCGAGGCTGCACCTGCCTCTCCGGGCAGAGGGGTCCCTGAGCCAGCCTGGGGTGAGCACATGCCCTGTCCACCGGCCTCAGCATCCGGGCCCGGCCGAGGATGGGGTCCCAGCTGCGGGAAAGTCCAGGGTGGGGTGAAGGAGGGCAGACTGGCCTCCCGCCCACCCTGGGCCAGAGTCTGCCCTCCCTGCAGACCTGGACACCACCTGTCCGCCTCTCCCCCGAGAGGGAGGGGGAACCCCACCCGCAGTGCCAGAGAGAGGGGGCCGCGGCCGCCCAGGCTCCTCATCCAGGCCAGGGACACGAACCACGCGGAAGGTTGTCTGAAGGTCACAGCACGATGGGGGTGTCCCGGCGAGGGCCTGGCTACCGCTCCACTTCCCAGGGAGCCCCAGCAGCCCCTCCCCCTGCCCTTCCGGAAGGGCGCCCGGCAACAGGGACTGGTTTGCAAAGGGCAGGTGGTCTGCCTCCCCCACCTGTGCTCGGTTATTTTTAGCTCGCCCTGACGTCACCCGGCAGCTCCATCCCCCGCCCCGGGACCCTGCTGTGCCCAGGAGAGTGATGACCTTCAAGGCAGGGAACTGCCACTGCACCCCGCGGGCCCCAGCGCCCCCATCCCGCCCCGGCCCCAGGCCAACGAACCCCGGCCGCCTTACGCTGCTGCTCCCGGCGCTCCCAGCTCCGCGCTGTGCGCTCTCCGAGGCTCGCAGCGGCGGGCGGTGGCTGCAGATGCGAGTCCGGGAGTTTCCCACAATGCAGTGCGTCTGCTCAGGCCGTGGGGGCGGGGCCGCATAGGCGCAGGCTCCGCCTTCTCCCCTCCCCCCCACCATGCGGCGGCGCGCGCCCCGGGACCAAGGGCGGTCTGGGACCCGAGCCCAGCTCTGCTTTTAGTCCCAAAGGTGGTTCAGGTCAGGCCGCTCGGGTCTCCGGCTGCCCTGCCGCAGCCCCCGCCCAGAACACGTGGGAGTCCGGAGCGGTCCCCCCAGAACCCTGCAGGAGCAGGCAGTGGTCTCGGCGCTCCCCGCTGGCGCCCACCCCGCCCCCAGGCCCTTAAGGGAGTCTCGCAGAGCAGGCTTCTACTTAGAATATTTATTTATCTTCTTACACGACAAGACACAAAAAGTCACTTCTTCACACTCCTCCAAAGGAAAAAAATATAAATCTGTAAGCAGCAGCAGCAGCTTCCAGGGTACAGATGGGATGGGGACAACCGTGAGCTCGGGGCTAGGCCTTAGCCCCAGGTAGTGTCGCTGGGAAGGGGCCTCCTCGCGGAGGCCGGGGACCGGGACACAGCACCAGCACGTCAGGACCAGTCACCAACACGATCACGTGGCGGGGGCGGCGCGGCGGCGGCCGGAGCCTGCCGCGGTTCACACGGATGGGCCTGCAGATCCGGAGGGCGGAGTGTGGTCAGGGGCTCTGTGCAGAGGCCCCGAGAGCGGCGTGGACCCTGGAGGGGCGGCTCCTGGCCATGCACCCCTGCAGGCAGAGTAGGTGGCCCCAGGCTCCATAGGGGTCTTGATGCTCGTCCTTCCCCTAATGTCAGACCCGGGGTGCAGGCCTCAGACGAGGAGCCGGACTGGAGAAACAGATTTCTGGACAGGGTCAGTGGGGAGCCTAGGGTGTGCACGTGCACTGGCTCACACTCACACTCACACACACACACACACACACACACACAGGCTGCCTGGCCAGTGGGAAGGAAGGGCAGCAGCCCCCACCCCCCCACCCCCGACCCCCCCAGTCAGAGGAGCCAGGCCAGCTGAAGGCCACGGCCAGCTCCACGCCGCACTTGCAGGTGCGGGCGCTCTGGGCCCCCAGCCTGGGGTGGGGGTTCCCTGGGAGTCGGACTGGGATTCCTGGCTCAAGACGGGGGGGGGGGGGCAGGAGGCCCCGACTCTCCTGCAAGGTGGGCCAAGGCGAGAGGGGCAGCAGCGAGGAGGCTGGACGGACCGAGGCTGGACAGAGCCACTTGTGCTCAGCAAGTTAATAAATAGGTTTGTGCGGGGTCCCCCTTGAGGATGAGGGGCCATGCCTGGAGACGGGCCGGCAGCCTGGAGGGGGGGCCCCTCTTGCCCAGCCCACGCCTGGGAGCCCCCAGCTCAGAGACCAGCTCTGTCCCTGGGGCGCGCAGGCCAGGCTGGAGCTGGGGCGCACAGGCTCCAGGAATGTAGAGATTTCTGTGGTTTCCAAGTAAATGACGTATTGATCCCAGTGGTTGTGCAGGGAGGGCCCTCGGGTCCGTGGGGGTGGGCCCTGCACCCCTCCCCCACCTCCCCGTCCGTGTGTGGGAGCAGCAAGGGAGACTTCCCCCGGCTGGGTCCGGAGCGGCTGGCCCAGCCTCAGCCCCACTCTGGTCCTGCTTGGTGCGGGCCTGGGGGCCCCGGGCTCAGGGCTGGGGGCGCTGCAGCAGCTCCAGCAGGGTCTCCGCGATGCCCAGGAAGTAGACCACCTGCGCGATGCCGAACAGCGGGGCGATGACCAGGGCGCGGCAGTAGGCTCCCTTCAGGAAGGCCGAGGGGCCCTCGTTCCGCAGTATCTTCCTGGGGGGAAAAAGCGGGGGTCAGGGCTGGCGCTGCCCCCCTGTGCCCCAACCCCGGGGAGGAGGGGGGGCCGCTCCCACCTGGCACAGTCCAGGAACCCCGAGTAGGTGTCTTCGTGGACCCCGCGCTGCAGAGACTGCAGCCGCGTCTTCACGACTGCAGGGAGGTGGGAGGTCAGCGTGGGCTCTGCACGCCCCCGCCCCCACAGCCCCCACGCCCAGCTGGACCCGGCCGGCGCACTGACCATCGCAGGGGTTGACGGCCACAGCGGCCGCACTCCCAGCCACACAGCCCGCCAGGAAGGACACGTAGAAGGGGGACTTCTCCCCGGAGGCCGGCTGGCCCAGCTGGTTCAGGTTGGCGAACAGGGGGAAGTAGACGATGGAGAAGGGGACGTCCCTGTGGGGGGGGGGCGGCGGTAGTGACCGGGAGGTGTGGGTGGGCGGGCCTCCTCCCTCCCTCCCCCTGCCCCGCCTGACCCCCCCACCTGAGCAGCGTGGCCCCCAGGCCCTTGTAGAGGCCGGCAATGCCGTGGGTCCGGAGCAGGTCCCGGGTGAGCTGGGTGGCCGTGGGCCGAGGGGGGGCCGGGGCCTCCACCGGGGGCGGGGCGCCCCCCTGTGTGGAGAACTGAGCCTGGGCAGCCAGTATCTTTTTCTGAGCGGCTGGGGAGGAAGGGGACAGGGCACCTGCTGTGTCTCCCTGCAAGTGCGAGGGAGGGGCAGGGGACAGGGTCGGGCCATGGCACCCTGCCCCGGTGCCGCCCCCCGCCACCCCCCTCACCGATGCGGCCCGCGTCCTGAAGCTGGATCTTCAGCATCTCCATGGGCGTGGTCACGATCACCTGGCAGGTGCCGGCCCCGCAGCCCGCCAGCATCTCCTTAAACAGGGTCAGCTTCTGCCTGCGGCAGAGGGAGTGGGAGTCAGTGGCCCCCGCTGCCCAGGGAGCGCCTGGGGGTGGGGGTGGGAGCAGCGGAGGCAGAGGCAGCCCTGTGTGGGGGACGCAGCACCCTCCAGCCTCAGACGCCCCACCGGGCCCTCCAGCAAGGACGCTGAGCCCAGCAGACAGGCGGCTGCACAGCGGTGGGGGGGGTAGGGGGGGCGGACGGCAGGGCCACACTCAAGCAAAGACAGATGGAGAAGCTGGGGGGGCTCAAGTGCCCCTAGGGGTTACCCTTTCAGCCCCACCCTCTGGTGACAGGAAAGCTGGTCAGTGCTGCCAACCCCAACCTACGAGGGGCGGCCCAGGGCCAAGGACGATGGGGGGGCGAGGGGGGCAGTGCAGGAAGGACAGAGAACAAGGACGAGGCTGGGAGAGGAGCAGCGGCAGGAAAGGGAGGCTCTGCAAGGTCAAGGTAGGGGGTGGGGGGGGAGCAGAGCCTTTGTCCTTGGTCTGGAGGCGCAGACCCCTCCCCCTCAGGGCGCGGCCAGGGCCAAGCTCCTCACCCGTCCTTGGAGAACTGATGGCGGAAGAAGTCATTGGCTGCCAGCTTGATGGCCTTCTCCGGGGTGACAAGGGTCAGGTTCACGGCGGCTCCTGCGGGGCAGGCCGCGGGAGGGGCCCGGGCCGATCAGCGCCGGGGAGGCTCTTAGCCAGCACCGGCTTCCCAGCGGGCACGGCTCTACCCGGCCAACCCTTGGCTGCCGCCTCCTGCCCTCTCACCCACATTGGTGCCAGGCGGGGCGGGCCCAGGCAGGGACAGGGGCATCGCTGCCTCCTGGCACGCTGCTTGCCCTCCCGGAGTGGGTCTCCTAGGTGGGCCCCCGGAGGAACCCTCCCCTGGGGGACAGGGAGGGCCCACAATGGCGGGGCCACTGGGTGAGAGGGCGCCAGGGTACAGGGCTGTGTCTAGCTGGGTGGGCCGAGCGGGGGGGGGCGAGGGGGGGATGGGGGAGGCGAGCCCCTCTCGGCAGCCAGGGATCAGGGCTGCGCAGCATCTGGGCAAATCCAGGCTTGGGGACTGTCTAAGCAGCTTCCCTCATGCCCCACCCCCTCCTGCCAGTCCCAGAAGGCAGGGGAGGGGCTGCAGCCCCTGTGGGAGGGGCCCAGTGTCCTGCCTCCCTGGGCGCTGGCAGCAAGGGAGGGACGGGGGTACCCAGGAAGGGTGGGGTGCCGAGGACTGCCGCTCCCCAGAGATCTCCCACCCTGTCACCCACCTGCCCCGGCGGCTCCAGCCACCCAGGCCTGGGGCCGGCCGATGGCCCCGTGCAGGCGCAGCCGGCTCCCAGGAGGCAGGTCCACACTGACTCACCAAACCCAGGCCTGCCCCGCCTTCCCACCTGCCCCTCAGCCACTTCAGCGGGAGGGGCTGCCAGCCCCGCCCCGTCCAGAGCCTCACCTCGGTACATGCCGAAGTAGCCCTCCGACCGGATGGTCTTGATGAGGCAGTCGGACCTGCAGCCGCAAGGTGGGGTAAGGTGGGCTCCAACCCCGCCCCAGGCAGGAGTGCCCCAAGGCCTTCTCCCCTCCCTCAGCCGCTTTGGTCACAGGGGGCACAGGGCAGCGCTCAGAGGTCTGAGCCTGTCCCGCCCCCGCCTGCCCCTGCATCCCACGCTCCTGCGTCCCCCGCCGGCCGGGCACACTCACATGCTGCTGTACATGCGCTGGCCATTCTGCTGGTTCTGCAGCCTTGTCTTGGCCAGGTCAATGGGGAACACGCAGGTGACCCCGATCAGCCCCGCGATGCCGCCATTGATGAGCTTGGCTGGCAGACTGCGTGGGTGGAGGGAGTGTCAGCACCTCCCGGCTCCTTGGCCCCGGGGCAGGGGGCAAGGGCGGGGTGGGGCAGGGGGCAAGGGCAGGGTCGCACTCTGACCTGATCTGCTTGTCGGCCATGTGGCTGGGCGCACCCAGGCCGGAGGGCAGCAGAGGCCGGCGGGGGCGGGTGGAGGAGGAGGGTGGGACAGGGCGGGGAGAGGGGTCTGCCACTCGCTGGGGATTTCAAAAGCACCTTCTGTCCTGCAAGGAATAGGGGACTGGAGTCAGCGGGGGAGGGTGGACCGTTCAGGCCCGGGAGAGGAGAAAGCTCCCCGTAAGTCTCGTAAGTCTCGTGAGAGGCCTCTGTGCCTGCCGGCCGCTCAGGCAGGCGGGAGCATCAGCACGTCCCGGGGATGCAGCCTTGGGGGCGGTGCCGGCCCCGCAGAGGCCCTCGAGGGCCCCCACGGTGGCGTCCTCCCGGCACCCTGCTCACGCTCACGTGCACACCAAGTGCCATCTTTAAAGGGCCAGGTGTGGGGGAGGGGGAGGCAGGGGCGGGCAGGAAGGGGACGGTCTGCCAGCCAGGTCAGTTACCTCAGCCCAGGACTGGGCTGCAGTGACCGCCCACCCTTGAGTGGGGGCCCCTCCGCGCTGGACCCCCGGACACCCGTTCCCCGGAGAAGCACCGTGCCGTGCTCACCCCCACACAGACCTGCCCCCGCCCCCCCTGCACCCCTCCCAGGAGTCTCATTCCCAGACAGACACACGCCGGACCCAGCCGATCACGACCTCCGGAAGCTTCAGGGGTCTGTTGGGTGAGGGGGAGAGGCGGCCGGGAGGAGGCCGGCTCACCCTCCAGAGCTCCCCGTGGTTCGTCCCCGCCATCTGCTCTAGGCTGGAGGCAGAGGGGACCCCTCTCACTGGGGGCTGGGCTCACGAGCCACCGCCAACCCAAGGGGCTGCTCATGGGGGGCAGAGCCAAAAACATTGAGCTGTGGGGGCTACCCACAGTCCACCTGTCACTGGCTTGCACCCACAGCGCTGCCACCCACTCATCGGCTCCTTCACCCAGGGGTCCCTCTCAGCGCCAGTGACCTTCACCTTAGCTCTCCCAGGTCAGGCTGGCCCGGACCAGCCGGCACGACCTCCACCCCCACACCGTCCCCGCCTCCGCTCGGCCGCCCCATCCGGTGGGCCCCCTCCGCTCACCGGGGAGGCTCGGGCCGTCTGCTCACGGGAGGCGCAGAACCCTCTCTGTGGATCTCTGAGACCGCAGCCTCCGGCTCACAGAGGAGATCTAGTGGCTGAGGGAGGTGCCAGCCGCAGGGATTGGCCTCCGGGCGGGGAGGGTGGGCTGGGGGGAGGGACTTTCTCTTTCACACCAGGCGGGCGTCAGGAGGCTCCCAGCAGCTGCCGGAGCCGAGCCCGTGAGAATGGGCGTGACCAATTCTGGAGGCAGGGCCAGGCCTCCTGGATGCCTCCGCCCGCCCGCGGGGCAGTGGGTCTGCCAGGGGCTGACCCAGCCACGCCGGGCCCTCCGCCCGCCCGCGGGGATGCCAGCCCCTGGCCACCCAGACCCTGGATGCCCCGTGGGCGTCTGTCTGCAGTTGGCGGCTGCCTCCGGCCGGGGCCCTGGCTCCCCGGGGATGGGGTCTCTGCGGGGGGGATGGGTGCGGGGACGAGGTCTGAGCCCACGTGTGGCTGTGGGACCTGTGTGGCCGCCGGGGAGGTGCGTTTCGGGGAGACCTGGCACTGGAACCGAGGGAGGCACCCCGTGTACTGGAAAGGCCGGAGAAGGAGTGGCTAGGTCTCAGAGCCCACTGCCGGCCAAGCACAGGCCTGCTCACCTGGCAGGTCCAGAGGTCACGGGATCAGGCCCTCCCAGGGCAGCACTGCTGCCCTGCCGAGCCTCCCACCCCACCCTGCCGAGCCTCCCACCCCACCCCGCCCCGCCCCACCCCACCCCCATCACACACGCCCATCACACACGCCCGGGACCGAGGACCTGGGGCTGGCTTCTCTGCGCCCCAACCCACAAAGAAGAGTCTCACCTCTGAATTTCACCCTGACTTCTCCCCCTCCAACCACAACCCCCGGGGGCAGACTGGCCACGGGCAGCTCCCTCTGCTGCCCCAGACCCTCGGGTATGAGGGGACAGCACCCCAGCTCCCAGGCCTCGCCCTGCCGGCTTGGGGCCCCGTGAGCCCTCCCTTCTGGGCACCCCCAGACCCCACCTCCTGTCTGGGGTCAAGACACCCAGTGATGGGGCCCCGGAAATTAGAGAGACCACCTAAGGTGGGGAGAGGCAGGTCCAGAGGCCCACAGACCCCAAGCCTGACAGTGTGGGGGTCCTGTGTCTCAGGCTGCAGGGTGGGCAGGAAGAGTGGGGGCCAGGGGCTCTATCTTGGACAACTGGAGAGGGTTTCCTGGACCGGGAACCCCCCTTTTGCAGTCTGCACTAGGGGGTTCCCAGTCCCGCTCCCGCTTATGAGGCAGCTGTGGAGGGCCCTGCCCTGCGCCCCGTGTTGCCATGGAAGCCCCCGCCCGGCCCAGGGCCTGCGGTGCCGACTGGCCACCCTCTGTCTCCCCAACCAGGTACAGGACGGGCAGGCGAGCTGTGGACCGTTCTTCGGTCTCCAGACCCCCAAAATAAAGTCTCCCACAAGTGAAGCCCTGAGCTCCCCGGCCCCCAAGAAGGTCAGACGGTCCCCCTTCCATCCCCACCTGTCCTTCCCCCCTGAGGCCCTTTTGGGACCGCGGGCTCCGCCCGCCCGGGGGCGGCTCACCCTCTGTCCTGCTGGACAGGTCCGAACCAGCCCCAGACGGCCATACTGTCCCTCGCCAGGCGATGGCGACTCCAGCCACGCACGTGTCCACACACGTCCGGCAGATTCCCACATGTGCCACCCCCGCCTCCGCCGGGCCTCCGTGCCCAGAGCTCCGGCTCCGCGGAGCAACCACCCCGAGGGGACACGTGTGCGCGGGGAGCGCGCCCGCCACCGCCGGGGCCGAGCGCGGCCTCCCCAACCCGGGCGGCAGCGGATCCGAGCATCGCCTGCCGGGGCCCCACCAGAGCCACCTGGTTTGGGCAGCTGTCACCCCGCCCCCGGGCCGCTTCCGCGCTCCTCGCCCGGCAGCCAGACGCACTCGGATCCGCTCAGGGCAAGGGGGCGGCCGCTGGACACTCACCGCTCCTCCGCCGCCGCCGCCGCCGCCGCCGCCGCCGCCGCGCTCGCCTCCTGGACGCCGCGCGCCGGGCTGCCAAAGTGCGTCCGCGCCGCCGCGCGCGCGCCACCCCTGGCCCACGGCAGCACGCGGGCTCCGGCTCCCCCTCCCGGCCGGGCGCGGCCACTGCTCCCGCCTGGGCCGCAGGCCTCGCTAGCCCAAGCCCTGGCCCACCCCTCGGTCTCCCCCTGGCGTCCCTGCATGGGCAGGGACCGGGGGATGAGCCCCATTGGGCCAGTGCGTGGCCGGTGGTGCATGGACCAGGGAGTGCTACCCGAGAGGCGATCAGGCCTCACAGTGCTCGGAGGGGACGGGGATGTACAGCCAACGGGGCAGATGGGCACTGGCACACAGGTGACTTTGTATCCAAGGTGCTGCAGATGTTACTTTGTAGCCGGGGCTCCTGTCCCTCCCGGAAGACAGGACCGACAGGAGGTGCTGGGCACACGCGAGGGGCAGGAGCAGGGCGCACGCACGGGAGGTCTGTGAGCAAGGGCTTGTCCCCGAAGGGGCCAGGCCTCTGAGCTCCACCCAACAAACCAACCAGCTCTGAGACGGCAGCCAGAACGGAGTCATGTTTGTTACACACAGCTCACTGTCCCCGCACATGGGGAAGGCTCAAAAGGGGGGGCCTCTGAGCACCAGCCAGGACACGGCAGGGTCTGTCTAGGCCTGGGCTGGCTCCGGGGACTGGGGGGCGCGAGGCCCCGGTGGGGCGAGGTCCTGGGGGGCCAGGCTTGTGCGACGGATGCCGTCCTGGTACTTGTGGCGGCCGAGCTCCAGGATAGCCCGCACCTCTTCGGCCACGTCCCGCCGGTCGCTCTGCTCCAGGGCCTGCACTAAGAGCCCCACGGCCCCTGGCTGCCCGGCCTGGCGCTCGGCCCAAGAGAAGAGCATGTGGTGGATCTGCCCGTCCAGGTCGTCCCTGGGGAGAAGGGGCTCCAGTGACCAAGAGGCCCCGCCAGGACCCCCGGCCACACGCAGGGGCTGGCCCACCCTCCCAGGGCCGGGCCCCGGCCAAGACCATCCCCTTCCCGCCTGTCTGCCCCGCCCCACCTGCCCCGAGGGAGCTGCGGCCAGCCTCCTCTAGGGCCCTCCAGGCAGCAGCGGCTCAGGCCTGAGCAGGGGGCTCCAGGGAACCCACCGGAACTCATGTCGGATGCGCTGCAGCTCCTGGTAGGACAGGCCCAGGTGCAGGGCCACGGCCGGCCAGTCGGGGCCCAGGCGCCCGGCCACGTTCAGCAGGTTGCTCTGGGTCAGGAAGCCGGTCTCTGCATCGCCCAGGTTCAGAGGTGCCAGGGTGAGGCCAGCCCCTGGCGCCGGGCCCGTGGACCTGTGCAGTCTCTGGGGGAGGGGCGGGTGCAGTGAGCCTGGGCCTCTGCCCCCCGCCCCACCCCTGCCACCCGACCCCGCCGCCCGCCCGCACGGGGCCTCACCGGCAGCTTGATGGGCAGAGTGGCCATCCACAGGGCGTCCGCGCCCTTCCTCAGCCGGGCTGCCTCGGCCTCCTCGGGCACCTCCTCGGGCACGGCCCCCCGATAGAAGGACACCTGGGCGGGATGGGACAGGGTCGGTGCCCTGGCCTCCACATGGGCAGCCCGAGGGCCCTGCCCCGTGGGCCCACCTGGCCCCTCACGGCCTGAGCCCGCCGGTCCAGGGTGGTGGTCACATACACCTCCTTCAGGTTCTTCAGGTGCGAGTAGAACACGAAGCACATTCTGCCCTGCACGCAGTCCGGGCGGTCTGGGGGCGGGGGCAGGCTCAGCTGGGGGCCGGGGGGCAGGCCCCGGGGCCCCCCTGCTGGGGCAGCACCCCCCTCCAGGGGCAGGCCCCTACCGGCATCCACGTCGATGCCTCCCTCAAAGGCGGCAAAGAACTTCTCGCCCTCGAACATCTCCACGGTGTCCGAGGGCTCGGGGCCCCGGTACCGCTCCAGCAGCCGCCGCAGGGTGGCGTCCACCTGGGGGCACCCGTTAGCTCAGAGCCCAGCACCAAGCAGCCCCCCCGCCGGCCCTCTCTGCCCTCCGGCCCCACCTTGTTGCGGGGCAGGCACTGCAGCAGGACCTGCTCGGGGTCCCGGCGCCTCTGCAGCGCGATGAGGTTCACGCGGTGCAGCCGCAGCCGCTGCCAGGCCTTCTGCGCCAGGCCCCCCACGCAGGCCTTGGTGGTGTACCAGAGCCAGTACCTGGGAGGGCTGGGGTCAGGTGGGGCAGTACAGGGGGCGGGGGGAGGGGGGCGGGTGAAGGGGGAGCAGGGGAAGCCGGAGGGACACTGACCAGGAGAAGTGCGTGACCTGGAAGCGAGCGTACAGGTGGGTGAGCTCCAGCGCCACCTGAGCCGTGATGTCGTCCCAGGTGGCCGCCGGTGGGGCCCGGTAGAGCAGGTGCAGGCGGGTGCGGTCCAGGCTCAGGCCTGGGCGGGAGGGGGCCACCGGCTGAAGCCTGTCGGCAGGGCTCCGCCCTGAGCACCGCCCCCCGCCCGCGGCCAAGCACCCAGGGACGCCGCCTGGGCGCCTCTCACCTGTGACGCCAGGGGGCAGAGGGAGCTGCACGGTGACTGGCCGGAGGAAGCTGGAGGGGCCGCTCTGGGAGAGGCACAGCAGGGGACTGGCGGCCGCCCCGGGCTCCTCCAGCAGGGCCTGCAGCTCCTGGCCCACCGTTCGCACCACCTGGGGGACGGGCCACCTGAACGCTCGCCTGTGCTCGGAGGCACCGCCTGCCACCCCTGCCCACTCACTGTCTGGCCTGTACCTGCATGGAGACGTGACGAGGCTCCTCAGTGGCTCCAGGAGGGAATGTGACCTTGACCCCAGGATGCCCTGAGGACCACAGCAACGCCCCCTCTGGTGGCACCAGGCAGGAGTTGCACACAGGACGTGAGACCACCAGGAACCACGAGAAGTGGGGCACCTGGCAGTGGGCCCAGAGCCTCTGGGCATGGGGGCGGGGCCAGAGGGGAGTCCGAGTCAGGGCAGAGCCCCCCGTGGCGGCGGCTGGGGGGGAGGGGGCCCAGGGTCCAGGCAGAGCCGCCGCCCCGGGTGCTG